ATGAATAACTTAAAGAGATATAAGAAACCCAATCATGTTGGGATTTCTCTTATAGACCTACATCAATTAGGACCGTGGAATCGGTTGACCTCCCCCCCCCCCCAAAACCGGTCCGCTCCCCACCCCCGGATATCCTAATGAATAAGAGAATTATTTGTAGGGTTGTCGGGAAGTTGGATACAGGTGTTAACTAAACCCTGTCCATTTCCGTACAAAATAACAGCCGAGATATACAAAAACGAGATTTGTGACACTAAGTGGTGGGGGTGTAGGTGGGATGAGGGGGTGGGGGTGGAGGTGTGACCAGGGGCGGATTGGGGCCGGGGACCGGCCCGGGCTCCCGTGTCGGAGCGGCCCCTTTTACTGACCGAGGAGCCCGGACGGGGGGTCCGGGCTGAGACAATACTTAGCTATACACAAACAGCCTCTGAAGACCGTGATGCCTGCATGGGGACGGGGACTGAGATAAAGTTCTTTCGCTGGGCCAAGGCCGTATAACAGGTGGCCTTGACGGAGTGGGAGCGGACATGCATAGGCGTACGGGACACAATTCATTTTTGAATTTTTGGAAATGGGAGGCCATTTCCCGCAATTTGAGACCATTCCCGACATCCCAATTCTGTAATTTCATCTCTGAAAATAACGAGTTAACACAAATGTCAAGGAATGTTTAACACCAGCCTCCGGAAATCGTCTCGCACTCATATTCAGCCAGAAGACCAGCTATCCTCAAATTTAGCTGAGGCCTTAATTGAATTTTTTGGGGAGTTACCAACCATCGGCAGACGTTTCTGGCGTATCCCCACAAACAGGGTGCAGGTGACTTAATAATTAGTAAATTTGCGGGCGTTAGTGTCTGTTGGATCCGATGAACTTTTTCGGATGAAATTCGGAATCCCCATTGCAGGATTCCGAATTCCGGCCCACACCCAGCATACCCGGCCCAGAAAGTCCGTTATTCCAGCCCATTCCAGACTCCGGGGCCCGTTAAAGCCACCGGCCACATACAACATGATCATCATCGCTCCATGGCCGGTCCAATCCCACCCCCCCATATAATGTTCAGCAGAAAAAGTTTTTTTTAGACGAATTGGACAAAATTATTGTTTTTTTCATTTTTTGGCCGACCGCCCCTGGGTGTGACGAGGGTCATGTATAAAACGTTACCGAAGCTCCATAATCGAAATAAACCAAAATGAATCGAAATTAAAATAATAATTATCGATGAATTGGTGTTAACTTTTAAAAACAGATTTATCATATCTCCTGGTTGTAGACAGACGCACCTCTTTGACAACATGGAGACTATTCATGGGTGAAAGAGCATGTGTGTGTATGTGGGGTGGGGTAGTGCATGGTTATTTAAGATATGATGAGTTGAAATAATAGCAGAACAGTAAAAAAATAAACGACCGGTCTCTGTGGGGAGGTAAAACCGCAACAGTACGTTCTGTGTCCTAAGACCAAAACGCCGAGGCGAAATACGTTGAAATTATATTACTGCAGGTGACTTTAAAATAAGAATGCAGACCCCTTGATTGTCGTGTGGATATTTGGACCTTATTTTTAATAATACGATATGCTACTCTACGACTGGACACACATTGAAGTCATCATACATTAGTAATATAGGTCAACATGATTTTAACATACTATAGGCCTACAATAATAAATATTCTTCTGTTGTTTATTTTATATATCAACATCTCTTTGATCAACAGTTTAAAAAGATGTGATGACGACTGAAACGAGATTTGTGTACGTTTACCCTCCATTATTATATATTTTCATATGGTTTGTATTTTAACTTTCTGTGTGGCGGCCATTTTAATCCGTATTTAATAAATTTGTTTAAAACGAAATAGAAAAATATCCCACCTTATTAAATAGACCACACATTGGATGGGTTGTAAACTGATTGAAAGGGGGAGTGAGAAAATAGCTTCTGAGTGGCATAGGATAGGAGACGGGGTTGGGCGTGGATGTGAGGGTCTCTAGTGGTTTGGTTTGGATGAACAACCGTGCACGTAAAAGACCCCTTGGCAGTTGGAATTCAATGAAGAGTAAGCATTATCCCGGTTGGTGCAGAAGAATATATCTGGATGAAATATGCATATTTGCTCATTGTTTGGTGGGCATTAAGAATTATGGTATATTATTCATAGTATATAATTCATAGTATATAATTCATGGTATATAATTAATAGTATTTAATTCATGGTACATAATTCATGGTATATAATTCATAGTATATAATTCATAGTATTTAATTCATGGTATATAATTAATAGTATTTAATTCATGGTATATAATTCATAGTACATAATTCATGGTATATAATTCATAGTATATAATTCATAGTATTTAATTCATGGTATATAATTCATAGTTTTTAATTCATGGTATATAATTCATAGTACATAATTCATGGTATATAATTCACAGTATATAATTCATTGGCCGAGAAGTTCATCGGGATTTTCCCGCGTGGTTCCTCCTTGTCAGTGGTACAAGACCAAGGGCCTGGCAAGTGACAACTTATAGTCGTTCGGATTGGACCAAAACCCGAGGGCCCGTGTACACATTGGCTTGTGCATTAAAGATCCCCTGGCAGTTGGAATTCGATATAAGAGTAGGACGTAGCGCGCGGTCCGGGAAAAATTCCCCTCATAGCACACTGCATGTCGTATGCCCGTCTTCATTAGCCCAGTCGGAGCAGAACAGTAGGATGTTGAACCCTATTTCATTTCATTTCAGAAATCGTTTGTTTTAATATCCTATTTCCGTTAAAATTTTATTAATGACCAAATTGCTTTTACTGTTAATTTAAAATTATCTTAATCTACCGGTGGTTAATTTGTTTACATAGACACACAGTGGAAATGAATGAAATAACTTTTACTGATCTAATAATTTTCGGTTCCTCCATTAATCTGGCTTCAACCGCTGCGATTATGCAGTGAGCCTCATCACGGATTTTGTCGTATTAATAAATTATGGAATGATACATCCGACAAAAATATCATTATACGATTATAACAAATACATGTATGTATAGATAATACGATAGTTTGTACTGATAAAGCAGGTTTATTCTTCCTCGAGGTAACGCGAGTTTACCTAATTCCACCCAGACAGTGGCGGATTAAGCTCCACCAAGGCCTGAGACGGCAGTTGCTGGAGGGCCTATTTAGTTCTTAAATAGGGCCTATTTAAAATGGCGTGGGCCTAATTAATTTCGTGTCAGGGCCTATGTTGATTCCCGTTGGGCCTAAACCCAACACCCCTAACATTCATTGTCTATGCGTTTTTAATCGTATCAGACAAGTCTAAAAATTTTTTTTTTACAAAATCTTTGGGCCTGAGGCTGCAGCCTCATCAGCCTCACTGATAATCCGCTACTGCACCCAGATGATTTTCAGTTGTCTGAAAAATATAGGAGGTAAAGCACCCTATTCAGCTGAAAATTAAATAGGCTCTTTTCAAGAGTAATGAATTATAATTTATCTTCTGGAATCATTAGCTTAGAACAGCAATAATTTAATAGCCTTATCTTCTCTTCAATAGTATGTTAATAAAGGCGAATGGGGTGGGGTGAACATAAACAATGGAACTCGGTTGATTGATGGGAATTACCAATACTAAACTACATTTAGAAAACACCTCTTCAAGATGTGTTAGAAAACACGTCATCAAGTTGTGTGAGAAAACACGTCATCAAGTTGTGTGAGAAAACACGTCATCAAGTTGTGTGATAAAACACGTCATCAAGATGTGCCTATCATTAATTTCATTAGAATCTATTTGACTCCCAAATCTACTAGAGAGCGGTGGTGGCGGGGGGGGGGGGGGGCGATCGTAACATTCACTCGACACAAACTGGAACATTTCGGGACTTAACCCATGTACTTCAATAATTCGCTTGCGCGTCTACGCAGGACCCGGAGAAACCCACGAGGTTGGACAGGCGACCCTACTCACGTACAGGTTGGGAATTGAAATGACATACCCCCCAACCCCTCTGTCCGAAAAATTGGGATTAGTGATTTTAATTCAGACTACATCATGCCATAAAATATTGTATAATTAAGTCTCACCAACAAAATAATCAGGTCATTTTGAGACTAACAGATGACTTCGTATACTCTTATTTGCATCGTCCAACCTCGTGGTTTTTCTCCGAGTCCTCCGGTTTCCTCCCACTGCTAAAGACACCTACGCGCAAGCGAATTATTGAAATAAAATTGAACCATGTGTTAGTCCCGAAATGACATAGTTTGTGTCGAGTGGACGTTAAACCCCATTTCTCTCTCTCTCTTATTTGTATTCAAACTGCAAAGGAATCTTTTACACGTGACTATGGTTACGTATATGATCTGAGGGACACGTTGCATGTCATCACTGCATGCGATGCACCTGACAAGTAGGAAACTAGCTTGGTGCAATTTCCAAAGTTTTTCTCCGCCCAACTGACAGGGACAGTGGGCCAGGACCGTGTCTAATCGTTTGGATATGACGAAAAACCGAGGTGTCGTGCACACATTGGCGTGCACGTAAAAAGAACCCTTGACAGTAGGAATGAATACGTAATAAGGGTAGGCAAAATTTCCCTCTTAACACACTGTATGACGCAAGTCTTCCTTAACGCAGTCAGTGCAGAAAGGTAGCGCGTTAAACCCCATTTCATTCCATTTGTTGATGTGTGATACTACGCACCCATTACGACCTTTTCAATTATCCAATTCATAAAATCAACTGTGTCAAATAGATAAATAATAATAAAAATTAAACAACCTATAATATTACACAATAACAACGTTTTCTTTATATATACAATATACAATAGTTTTTATTAATGTAGCCTAAAGATAAATCTGTCAAATTTATCATCACAATATGCACAGTGTTGGAGTTAATAAAATAATCTATATTCTATGTCATCTTTAAAAAAAAACTACAGAAAGCATGTACACTATAGTGATGTCATTTTCTCGTTTCAGAACGAATTATTACAGACCATAAAAAACTACCCCTCGTAAATACAGATTCAACCGTGCATGAAAACTGCCGCGATAATTCATACGTATTGTTTAATTTTTTAACAAATTTTATATCCCAATACTTAAATCATAAACATGTCTTTCAGAAAAATTAATAAAAATTATGAGAAGTCATTATTACGAAAAGAACGGGACGAAAATGCTCCATTCACTATCGGCGAACCTTCCGCCTATGCGTATAGTCAAGAAGTAAGTGAAGAAGTAGTGGGCCGATATGGTGCATCCGATTCGCCGTCTCAACCGTCGTCTGCTTCTGATCTACCTACAAACGTGAAGTATGACACTTCTGGTCCAGATGAAAATAAGACTTGCAGCGACTCACAAGCAACAAGTCGCTTCTCACCATCTAAACAAACGAATATGTCACAAAATAAGACGCTGTTGGACAAAGAGAAGAACTATTTAGCTAATAATGAGGATATACACCAAACAATACAGAGTGATGGCGAACCCGCCCGAGAAACCTGGGGCAAGAAAATTGAGTTTTTGTTGGCTATTATTGGATTTGCTATAGATCTTGGCAATGTTTGGAGATTTCCTTTTATTTGTTTTAAGAATGGAGGGGGTAAGTACGGTTTAATATATTTTTACACCTTTTAGGTAACTTCATAATCCTCGGCTTTGTATTATTATCTAGTTTCGTTTCACAAAGAGATTATATTATGTCAAGTTGATCTCTGGGGGTTATCTAAGAATTACTATTACTCAGGTAATATGACTTAATAGCAAATCTTCTTTAATACCCGCATACTTTATCTCGTATTATCTATCACCGTAGTGCATGTTACGTGCTACTTTCAAACATCTTAAGAAACAATTACGTAGTTTTTCTTAACCCTTCAAACTTTGCAAGATTAACTGTTTTGCAGTATGTGGTACATGTCTAATAGGGCCATTATAAATTAGCGATAACGGTTGACTCTTCTTTTAAACGGATATCTAACCACAACTAAAAGAATGCAAATGACTAGTATATTTTGTGAGAAGAAGAAAGAGTACCTAAGGTTATTGCATCTTTAATTATATGTTTCGATACAGTACTAGGGCAATATATTAAATATTTACCTCAAATTTCAAACTATATGTATTATGTGTATATTTGGGGTTGCCGAATGGTTTACGCTTTATATCATAAGGTCTGTTATTGAGTCAAGTGACGTGACAAGGAACAGGGAATACGGTCACCTGTCCAACCTCGTATCCGTATTAAGTTTTCAAATATTGGCCGTGAAAGACAAAAATTCCAGAAGTTTTAAAAAAATTCGGGATTATTATTTTTTTTATACTTTTTTAGAACTGTATAGAGAACAAATTGCCGATCTAAAAATACTAGATGTTATCATTTTATTGGTGACGAACATTTTCTTTTAAACAAATCCCATGCATTTTAGAGACAAGAAAGGGGGTGGGTGGATGAAAGGGATTCAAGGAAGAACGAGATAATTTGAATAAACCGGAAACCGGAGGTCCGGGAGAAAACTCACGAGGTTGGACAGGCGACCCTACTCCTTGTCACGTACAACCGGGGATTCGAAACCACGCCAGTTGACTCAATGACAGGCCTTGTGATACAGCGCGCACGTGCTAACCATTCGGCCCCCCACCCCCCTAAAAAAAGACGAAAATTGACACCCTTAAACCACTTCAATACATCTTTACGCAATCGGATTTTTAGTAAAAAGTATATTGGAAAGGTTTCAAAATAAAAGTAGGGGGAAAGTGGGGTGAAATGGCCCCGCCTTAACTTTGTCAGTCAACATATTATCTTGAACCAAGATACTCGGCTTTAAATCTAGGAGAGAGATGGAATCTGATTTTCCGCGTATATTCAATTATATATATATATATGGATATGCTGCCAAAGACAGTGTCTAATCATTTTGATGGGATAGAAACCGAAGTCTAGTTTACACATTGGCACGTATAGAAACCTTAACTTAGAAATAAGATTAGGCCGTAGTGCTGCTGTACGGGCAAAATTTATCTCATTGTAGAACAGCAAGACGTTAAACGCCATTTAATTTCATTTCTTCCCTGTTTAAATTGATATGGACGAGGATGCTGATATAGGTGGAAATTGTTAGAATACCGGATATGTCTGTCTAGTGATAAAATCCTGTGTATGATATATAGTCAAGTATATATTATTAGATATATATATATCTAATCTATCAAGCGTGGATTTACGTGCACATCAATATGTACACGGGATCTCGGGTTTTTCTCCCATCCGAACGACTATTCGTTGTCCCTTGCCAAGTCCTCTGTTCTGCACCACTAACAAGGGGGTGACCACTTCAGAAAATCCCGATTAACTTTCTTGGTCAACACAGGGATCGAAAACGGGACCACACCTGGTTAGCGAGGCAATGTTTTACTCACCGAGCCACCGTGGTTCCCACTAATTAGGGGGTCTCTGGTTCGATCCCAGTATACGTTGCCGTGCACGTAAAAGAACCCTTGTTAGTTGGAATTCGTCTGTAGGGAATTGTCCGGGAAAAATTTCTCTCATAGTGCACATCATAATAGCTATACCCTTTTACATTCGCCCGGTTAGTGCAGAAAAGTAGGACGTTAAACTCCATTGCATTTCATTCATAATCACTATTTAACTGCCCGCGCTTTCTGAAATACCTGACAAAACACGGAAATTGTGAGCAATAACTAAAGTGAAATGAAATGAAATCCAATCCGGTATAGATACGCGTGTATAGGTGTTGTAGACATATGTCAACATACGACAATAATTACTTATATCTAAACCCGTTACATATATTCTACCGATAAAACAAAACTATTAATGTCAATATACATGTCTACGTGCACAGTTTTAATATCACCCCAGGTCATTTAAATGGTTGTTCGGTGCATTCATAAAAATATTCATACTATTAAGGACATTTAGAACGCACCGAATGTTTGGTCAAATCTAGTAGGACCCGTAGAGCGACAGTTTTAATGCATTATAGTCAACTTTAAGCGTAACTTCTAAATGTCAAGTAGGAATAATACTACCTTCTAAATCAACTTAGGAGCGGGGGTCCAATAGTTAATGTCACTTACATACGATAAATATTAAAAACTTTACTTGTTGTTTTAACCACTAATACGTAGTTGAATCAACGCCAAATTATGCTAATGGTGCTTGATAACGGTAAGAGGATATTTGTCGAAACGTCGTGCTTTTAGAATAAATTACTAGTGATTGTTTCCCATAAAAATTGTGTTCTGGTAATTATCAGCTACACATTAACCCCCCTCCCCCTCCCCCTAAAAAAACCCAACAAAAACAAACCAAAAAACCAAAAAAAAACCCCAAAACAAACAAACCAAACTCGGACATATCTAGAACCCCAACGTTAAAACGTCATTTCAAGATGGGATGCATCATAACAATGTCCAACAAGGTTTCAACCATACGAAACTTATGCCGACTGTCTGCAATTAGTTTCTCTTTCGAACAGACTCCAAGCTGGATGACCGACATTTTTATTCCTACATCGACGATTTTAGTCGAAATCTGTATAAGTATACTTCTAGCATTTTGTGAAGTATTTATATTGCTTCACGTCCATAAAATAAAATTGAAAGTAGTCTTTGAGTGTATGAAAGATGTAAAACGTATTAGAACCGCATTACACAATATTACACATTCATGGCAGAGATATATTCTCAAAGAAGATAGCCCTCTTGTGTGCCGAATGGGTTTCATGGTGTTCATTAAAATCAAACGCATGATAGGGTTAACGTTCACTTTAGCGCGCTTATAATGTTTTGGTCCCTATTTTTTGATCACTACATGGGCCATTTAATTTTTACTTGGCTTCCTGCTAAATTTCAAGTAAATGGTTACTCATAAAGGTATTCTCCTTCAATGTGCCTAATGTTATATTTCATGTAGCACATAGCCGATAATGACTCACACTAGTATTGTACAACTTTTGGTAAATATCCCCCTTTTGTTCGTTCGTTTTTAATTTAGAGTGATGTCTGTATCACTACAGGTCCGGGATTGTACAGCGCAATGACATCCTCGGTGTCCCCAGTGGTCTCATTCCGTTCCACTCCATTATACCATGGGTTGACCTATGTCATATCAGTACCCAACCCGCAGAGTAACGGAATCTGCTGAGGTTTGCCGAGTGCAAATCCTCGTAGCAAAAAAATCTAAATATCCACCTTCTACAAAGTTATGATGAGGAGAGTGCCAAATTCCCTCCTCTATGTGGCTATAAAGATGGGAACCAACGGAGTGTTGAGCTAAAAGCTACAGCCTGTGATGTTACAACCATTATACATCGAGTTCATATGGGCAAATAATAGCAAGTCTGAGACGTTATGACGGTGAATGTCGTAGAAAAATAAAACTCTGTGCGAGCAGGGAGAGGGACCGAACCCCCCGCCTCCCATCTGGAAACACACCTGAAATAGTCAGCTGTCTATAACTGATTATAATTAGACATGAATAAAGGCTTTAGACCAGTCTTGTCTTGTCGTTCAAGGAGAACAACAAAAAACAAGTCTGAATACAAACAAGTCTACCAATCTGTTTGACTGTCACAAGTATAATGACATATGACATAAGGAAACCTTAATTATCCTAACGTTGACAAATATCATTAATTATTCTTATATACTATCTGATAGGTGACGTAACCCAACAGGTTTGTCTGAGATTATAACAATAGCAACTTAGTTCAAACCATTCCAGGGTGCAAGCAAAACATTGCTTGATAATGACTAGAGATGCCTAGTCGAAACGTCGCTCAGTAATAAGCACTAATTGTATTCCATAGAATTGTGACCTGTATATTCCAGTTCAATTACTAAATGTCATTGAAACAATTTAAAAAAACAAATGATGTTTTCGTTAAACAATTTTCATTCTTTTTCTATTTTTTTTATCTTATAATATCTGCTCTCTGAATGTGTATTTCTATATGTCGTGCTGTCGTACCGTCGTTCTATCTGTGTTTTTGCGTGCCGTTTTCCCTGCATTGTCTACATTGTAGTCAATCAACACCAGTCTGCGTGTTTCATGTCATTTTCTGATATGGCGCGGAAGTTCTTAACAGTATGTAAATAACTTAAATGGGCATTCCCATATTCAACAGGGGGTCGTAAATAAACTCGCTTTAATAACACGCCAAAATTTGACGAAATATTTTATTTATCTTGTCTGAAATTATTTAAAATTCATAATTAATTGAACCTGATAGAAATGATCGATAGATTTTCTTAACGAGAAAACATAACCCATTTAAGCAATACAGTGCTATTGTATCGCCAATTGCTTGGCTCAAGAGTGAAGTAATTTGACTGAAATTCTCAACATATTTCCGTTTCATTATTTATTTTTTTAACTATTATAGCGTGAACTGTCAACTCTTTGTCTAACCTTGCCTAATACCCCTTTAATTTTATTGAGGGGTGGAAGACTGATTACATTGGTTTCCAATGATGTAATGACCTCACGCGTTTCAGATGAGGATCTGATATCGTCTTCTTAATAAGGAGTGTAATAATATGGACCTTACATTGAAGTTTAGATAGTTAGCGACATTT